GTCGAATATATGATACCACATGGCATGCTGATTTCCTCTCAAATCTATTTTTTACTTTATTTTTCTTCAAATATTTTAAAATTTTTTTACTTTTCACTTTTTTATTTGTTTTTTATTTTTATTTTTTATTAGATAAATTTTGTAAAAAATATCAATTGCGGTATGAATAATAAAACAATCTATATATGATTGGTTTTAATTCATTTTGAACGTACGTGCTTTTATTAAAAAAATTTTGAGATTGGATCAAGACTTATTTTAAAAAATAAGTCGAGTAAAAATAGACTTACGGTGTTTTGTCTTATTTTGGATGTGCATGTGGCACCTCCTCATTTTATTTTTTTCATTTCCTTTTTTAAAGCTTTTGTTTTTTTTTTCTTTTTTCATTTATTTATTTATTTACTTTTTTACTAGATAAATTTTATAATGAAAGTCAATTTAAATAAAGATGATAAAATAATCAATATCCAATAAGTTTCAAATCATAACTATCTAATTGGTGCTTTTTTTTTTAATTAGATCAAATTTTTTAAAATTGAACTCGAATAAGAGTAAAGTTTTAGATGATGTCATTTAATCTTAATATCTTACCAAATGCCTTTTATTCTTTATTTTACTATTTTTTAAAAATCTTTTTCATGCTTTTTTTTATGTATAACAACTCTCTTTTTTTTTTTAATTTAATTTTCTTCTATCTCCCTAATTAAAGTCTCTCATTCTCTCACAATTTTCTAAAAATGCAATGCTAGGGAATAATCATAATAGCAAAACAGAAAGTGTTTCGATGAGGTTGAGGTTCAAAGAGAATATATACTTATATTTGTCCTTAATTTGTATTTGTATTTTTTAAATATTTTTAGTATTTATTTTTAAAACGTGCATTTTATATTTATCTATATATAATCACCATTAAATTTTGATATAAAAATTTTATTTTTTTATATTTAAAATATAATTAAAAAAATAAAAAATAATCCGCAACGAAACGCTGGCCTAGCTCAATTAAATTTTGTAGCATAAATAAATAAGAAAAATAAACATCATAATGCAAAAAAGGAAATGGCGGGAAAGTGGAGATGGTGCCAAAACCAGATGACAACATCAGAGATTGTCAGGCTTACAGCGCTTGATTAGGACAATTGCGCTTACTACGGACCACGTGACCAAGTATACGTCCGAACGCCGCAGAATCTTTAAGTATCAAAAAGGCGTATCAGCAGGCACTTGCTGGTTTGATGGTTGGCATCCCTCTTACAACTGCTACCAAAATTTAGCTTTATTCCAACCCATTTTTTTCCTAAATATAATTTAACCTCGAAAATTGCTCTTTGACAATAAAATCCATATATATATTAAGCTCTATAAATCATACATAATACATAGATAATAAATTCTAATATATAAATATATAAATATCAAACTAATAAAAATATCGGCTGGACACAAAGCATGCTTGTGTATAACTAAATAGTTGAAAAACAAAAAGTCTTTTCTTTTATAATAAAATAAAATTTATTTGTAAAAAATGTGTGTGATACACTAAGGAGAAAATCAGAATGAACATGTATCTTAATTTAGAAGAACTATATAATAGAATAATGATTAATTTTGGGATTATAACTCATTCAAAGATACTTGGGTTTATCTATTTTTGATTAAAAAAAGATTGTTTGGTGGTGGAAGAGTTGAGTGTAAAACTACCCAATTACTTTTTTTTTTTGGTTTAAAATTTTTTAGAAGGCACACTCAATTAATTTATTTTTTAATTAAATAAAAATTAATTTCATTAACCATTACAAAATAAAATGTCCTATGCTATTACTTCAAAAAAAAAATTTCTTACGTTATTCTTTTAAAAAAATCTTATTTTATTGGCAAGTAGTATAGTGATTCATTAATTTAAATATTAATTGTAGCAGAAAAAATTGCAAATTAATTATATAATAATTGATGATGGAAAAAATTTGACAATTGACAAGGATTGATACTTGCGTTTTTTGCGGCGCTACGTAAGGCACTGGAACGCACGGTGGTCACCACCAATAAACAAGGGTGTTTTCCGTGGGAGGGGTCCCGTCTTTGCCTTGCAAGCCTTGCCCTGTTCATAATCATAACGATAAATAATACAACCGTTGCTTATGTTACAATACAAGGATATCAAATTTCACAAGCCATGCCACAGGCAAATAATCCCTTGTTTAGACTAATCAAATTATAAAAAAAAATGATAAAATAAAATAAAATAAAATTTTAGTATCCGTAATTTTTTAATCTCAAAATTATTTAAAAAAAAGCATAGTTAATGGAAATTCTATACTCTAAAAGAACATTTATTTGTCAATTTTTTAGTTACCTACATATGGTTAATATATTGAAGGGTAAAAAAAAAAAAACAGAAAAAAGCAAATGCATTAAGCTCAAGACTTATTCTAATTGCACAATGCAGAGTACTTTATGAAACCTTAATTTTTTAAATCCTTTGATTATTTACTTTGAATAGATCTACAATTAATTAAAATTGTAAAAAATACTGGTATATGATTTTTTTTGTTGAGAAGATCATTCATGGATGCTAAAAGCAATGTATTTTTAACTGGCTTAATTATCACAAAACTCTACAAGCAATATATATATATATATATATATATTTCATTTGTGTATACCATTGTTGTATGATGGTGAGGCGAGATCAGATTTTTGGGTAATTGGCAACTTGGCTTTACAATAAAATGTATTTTCGTTCGCTGTTTCTTTGGTTGTAAAGCTTGTTAGTACAAACAAATAAGATGTATAACTTTAAGGATGACAAGGGACATTGTCATCACATGCCGTAGTGTAGATTAGAGATGTAAATAATATATTAGTACTCATAAATTATTTAAATTTGATTTAAATAAAATTTAAATTCGGTTCGATTATTATCGAGTCGAACTCGAGTAATTAGACTCATTGATCGAATCGAATTTGAGTATTTTTATACCCAGTTTGAGTAACTCTCAAATTTAATCGAGTTTTTATATTTAAATATATTTTTATTATTTTAATTAATAAAATATCTCGAGTTTGAGTACAAATAATTGAACTGTTGTCAAATATACGAATTGAACTTATTTTTATATATTAATTGAGTTTAATCAAACGAACTTGAATAATTCGATTTCGGTCACGAATTGAGCTCGAATTTAAATTTTTTATTGTATCGACTCAACTCCACTCAATTATATCCTAATATAGACGAAAGCTTTCAGATACTATATTATTAATTTTAGGAAAGAAAACCACAGAAAAAAATTTCCTTCTAAAACACAAATCAATAGCAGGAACTACAGTTAGGAGTGTAAATGATTCATTAGTTCTCGCAAGTTATTCGAATTCGATTCGAATAAAACTCGAATTCAGTTCGATTATTATCGAGTCAAGCTCGAGCTCGAATAATTCGATTCATCGATCGAGTCGAGTTTAAATATTCTTATACCTAGTTCGATCTTAGCTCGAGTAACTCGCGAGTCTAATCGAGTTTTTATATTTAAATATTTTTTATTATTTTAATTAATAAAATATCTCAATTTTAAGTTCGAATTTAAGTGCAAATAATCAAGCTCTTATTAAGTATAAGAATCAAACTTATTTTACATATTAATCAAATTTAATTAATCAAACTCGAGTAACTCGATTTTGATCACGAATCAAATTTAAATTAAAAAAATAAAACTCGATCAAATTTAAATTAAATATCAAACATCAAATTAAAAATCAAATTTACACTCAAATTTCTCTTTATATCATTTGACTCAACCTAATTACAACCCTGTCTACAGCTGACATGTAACAACCATCAACAACTGACGCTGGTAGGCTTCTTTTAATATATTTCAATCACCTGTCTACCAATTTTTTATAGTTTTTAATTTTGGCCTTACTTATTTCATCCACAAACCAAAAAAGCTACCTAAATTCGTTGGGTACTTAAATTGCTTGGAGGAAACAAAAAAGTGTAATGATGACAACGGTTAGAAAATAAATCTTTGTCAAAGATACGGAAAACCTTTAATCTCTTGGGGAATTAGTCCTAATTGTTCATTCTCATTTAGAGAGCGTGTAGGCTGCGCAGCTTTCTTATTGGCTGAGTGACTGAGGCGTTCCCCTATCCAATTCTTTGGCGAGCGTGCGTTTTCATAAAGATTTGCGCGTTGCGGATTAAATTTCTCGTGGTAGTTTAAATGCCAAAGTTGGCCCGTAAACATTTCGTCTTTTTATCTATGTTTATTGGTAAAATTCGATTCTTTTAAATAAAATTTTGATTTTAAATTTTATAAATAAAAAAATAAATTTAAAAAAATATGTTTTTTTATAAAATTTAACTTGACTTAATTTTTAATTAATTTAAATTTAAAATATTTATAAAATATTAAAAAATTTCAGATTAAAATCAAATTCCATCTTTGCCACCACGATGCAAGAAGGAATCAATTAACAGTATATCAGGAGATAAACGTAAAATCCCTGAGAATTAAATTTTTTAGGCAAGAACAAATTAAGGCTAATTAGAAATGTTTGGTTTATTTGACAAATTCAAAACTTAAGGCTGAATTCATTAGTTTATTTTTTTAATAAAATTATAATGTAAAAATAAAAAAATAAATAGTGAATATTAAAATTTAAAATTATTTAATGTTGATTTTAATTATATAAATTAATTAAATTAAATTTAAAATTTAAAATTCATGAGCTTTTGACGCATGTATGTTTGAATTAAAAAAAAGCAATAAAGGATATTAATTTTCTTTTGGCTAAAATTTTCAAATTTTCAACTTTCTACGGTTCAATCAAAAGAACAGCGAAAAACGGATTTTTTTTTTTTTGTTGATGTTAATTTTGGGATGTTGAGAAAAGATGAGAGTATATCTCATAGCCTGTCTGAGTCACTCTCTGCCAAAGAGTGATGGACCACTTGTACCAACCATCCAGCTCAGCTCAATCAATCAAAGAAAGCTACAGTTGCCAACTCTCTCCCCCAACCCCAACTATAATATCTCAACCAACCTATACGTCTCTCTCTCTGTCTTCTGTTTCAAATCCTAATTCAACTTGCCCTCTCATAACTTCTTATCAATTTAAGGATTCTTGTTGGCAAAGTTAACACATGGCAGAGGAAGAACCCAAGAAGGTTGTTGAAACCGAAACACCCTCGGAGCCTCTGCCGCCAGCTCCCAAACCGGCCGAAGCTCCCCTAGACGTTGCGGAGGAAAAATCCGTAATCCCACCTCCTCCTACTGAAGAAAAGTCTGCTGAGTCTACTGAACTCCCAGCAGTCGAAAGTATATCCCTTCATTTTCCCTTCTCAGTTTTGCTTCTCCTGCTTTTTACTTCGTTTTGTTTGTTTCTCTTTGGTTTAATTTGTCCTTTATCGTCTTTTTCTTTTCAATTTAATATTTTTATAATTTTTTTGTGATTATTTAGTTTAATTTTATTTTGGTGTTTATGGCAGAGGCGGCGGAATCGACTGAGGAGAAAACCACGAAAGGTTCTGTTGATCGAGGTAATTTCTCAATCTTAATGTGATCAAAATCTTTGTCTGTAACTGTAATTAATATGACTGAATTGAAATTTTCTGTCTGGTTTGTTTGTCCAGATGCTGAGCTTGCTAGAGTTGCGACAGAAAAGCGAATTTCACTAATCAATGCTTGGGAAGAGAGTGAAAAATGCAAAGCTGAGAACAAGTAGGAACTTTCCTAACTTGGGTTTCTCTTCGACTTATATTTCTTTCCTTTCAAGAGAAAACCCCTTTAATTTAGTTTGAAAAATTTACAAAATTTCATATGAATTTTTTGCACAACATGCATTTACATTACAACTATGCGTTTCACTGCTTTGGGTTTAAATTTTTGTGGCTGCGATGGCCTAGAAAAATTAAACTTGGAGCTTGAAGTCTTTTTCTTTGATTGAGTTGGGATTTTATACATGTTTCTGAACTCGATCTTATTAAAATTATTGAGCAGAGCTCACAAAAAGCTTTCTTCTATTTCGGCTTGGGAGAATAGCAAAAAAGCAGCTCTGGAGGCTGAGCTGAAAAAGCTTGAGGTATCAAATTCAGTTTTGTTGGAAAAGAGGTTGATATATGTAACTTAAAGCAGAATAAAGATTAATAACGTGACTCTCAAATTTGGCATGGGCAGGAAAAATTAGAGAAGCAGAAGGCGGAGTATATCGAAAAAATGAAAAACAAGGTGGCCTTGATCCATAAGGAAGCGGAAGAGAAGAAGGCAATCGTTGAAGCGAAGCGCGGTGAAGATGTTCTCAAGGCAGAGGAGTTGGCAGCAAAGTACCGTGCCACCGGAACTACTCCCAAGAAGATCCTTGGTTGGTTTTGAGGAATAAAATTAAATTCATCGAAAAAGTTTGGATTAGAAATATTGTGTCATTTGTTAATTTTAGATGTGTTTGTTTGGTCATATACGATGAAGCATTGGCCATTATTCATTGCTCTGTGTGCATCTGTATATATTTGTGTGTTTGCGTGAATATTTACCATTTGACAAAAATTACTTATTGAATTCGTAAGAAACAAAGTTTGGTGTAAATAATGATGAGTCATGAAGATTATAGAATGAAGTTTTATATTTTTGCATAGCTGAAAGACCAGAGTGCAATCCAGCTTTATTGATGGTTTTAGCTTCCAGACAAAATGCTGTCACTTCATGTAGGAAGTGGCAAATTTTATGAAATCCCTGATGTATGAATAAAATATGTTAAGCCTCCACTACAATCTTCCAAGCCCCAAATTACACTAGACTGTATAGGTATAGCTCCGCTTTCTATTCTATGGGCATATATCCCAGATACAGCCTTCTTCTTGTATGCTGGATCAGTGAACAAAAAATTTGCCTATATCAAAAATAAATCACGCGCTTTCTTTTAACTTTGTTAATGCTATATACAATATATATATATATATATACATTATTTTTATTATATGTTTCATTTTTAATTATTTTTTTTATTTTTTAAAAATATATGAGTATATGGCATCTTAATAACTTTGTTTATGAATCTAAAAACTCCAGTAACGGGCATGAAATGATTTCACCGAAAAGGCAATTCCTGAGATTAAGGCAGATGAATTCATCACAAATTTTGGCACCTGAAAAAAATTTAAACGATGTGATAATTGGCAATGTAAGGAACAGTCACTATCTCGATTTTTATTAACAATAATCAGCGATCTGGAACTTGAATTATATATTATATATAAATTATATCAAATAACATAAAATTACGAACGTAATTAATGAAGAAATTAAACAATATGAGGGATAATAACAAAAATTAAAATATAGAAAAATTAACAAACAATTCAATCCCATAGCTCACAAAAAAAAACCCTTTCAAATTATTTTATTTAAAAAAAATTTTCCTTTTCCTTTTATTTTGGTTTTATTTTCTTTCTTCTTATCTGCTTGGAATAAACTAACATTTCAATCCCACGACTCAATTAACCCTCAAATGAAGGCAATTGATCGGTACAATAAAAGATTATTTTTATTTATTATTATAGATATTGTACAATATAATTAAGAAATCTGCAAAACTAATGATTTATTAGATGCAACATTCGCGGACGTTCATTCTTTGAAGAAGGGCCGGGTAGCTGGTAAGATGATCAAGTAAGGGTCAGTTTGGATGAGATGTTTCGGTGCGACGAGATTCGGCTCTCAAACAAGAGTAACTGGATTGACCATCCATTCGAGTGTCTTGGTTTCGGTGCTGTAACAACAATCCCATCATGCCAAGCCCCAACTGTTCACCGAAGGGGAACCCTTCAGTTGCCAACTAGAGTTGGTTTTCCTTTTCTCTTTTTATCTTTTTGGATCAGTAAAAACAATTACATCAAAACCTTCTAAAAGAAAATCTTAGAATTCCTTCTTTTGGCTTGATTTAGGCATATGTGTAATCAAGTTGAACCAAATCGATATAACGAGAAATTTGAGTTCGAACTCAACTTAATATTCATTGCTTGAAACTCAATTTGAATTCAATCAAATTTTAATTTTTAAGTTAGAGTTCAATTCGAGATAAAATCGAACTACTCAATTAAGCTCGTTTAATAAAAAATGAGTTCAATTATCATACTCAATTTCAAGCTCAATTATATATTTAGTCTCAAGATCGGACTCAAATTGATATATATAAAAGTAAAATAGTAATTTTTAATTAAAATAATAAAATATATTAAAATTTAAAAACTCAATTAGGTTCATGAGTTATTCGAACTAGGTATTAGGATATTCAAACTCGACTTGCTCGATAAGTCAAGCTACTCAAGTTCAAACTTGACTCAACAATTTTTGAGATGAATTCAAGTTTTATATGAGTCGAACTCGAATAACTTATGAGTATTGATATATCATTTATACTTCTAGGTTCAAGGAACTTTTCCCTTTAAAGATAAGGTAAATACTATTGTGTTGAAAATGGCAAAAGTGCTGGGATCACAGTAATAATAAGGGATAGCAGACAAATTATTGATGGGAGAATGTGAGAAAGAAATAGTAATACAGATAGGGGTGTAAACAAATAGAGTTTTCGACAAATTGTTTGTGAATATGTTTGATTTTTGTTTATTTATATTCGTTTATTAAGTATAACAAATGATATTGAATAATATTTTTACATTCTTTTATTAAATGAATTGAACACGAGCTTAGACCTATTTGGTTTGTTTATGTTTATAAACAAGCTCACTTAAGATTCGTTTAAAACATGTTTGTGTTTTTTCTTAATTTTATAATTGTATGTTTGTTTAAATTTATTTGATTATGATATGTTTATTATTCATGAACATATTTAGTTATTGTTCATAAATATCAATGTTCATGAATGAGTTTGTTTAATTTAAATGAGTAAAAAACAAATTGAACTCAAATATCCTACTGTTTAAATGATTGAGCTCAAATGTAATGAACCATTTTTTTATCAAACACAAACTGAACATAGACAACTCTAAAAATAAATTAACAAACTACAAATATACATTCATTCATTTGTAGTCGATTCATTTATACCATTAAATGCAGGATATTGTAGAGGCAGAAGTTTTAGTTGTGAAAGGAGTTTTATAAGCTAGCCAATGAGAGTTAGGAAGATTGTGGTTCATAGATTCTGGCCAAAAAAAGTTTTCTTTTTTTTTTTTAATTTTGATATTTTCTATTTAAAAATTATAAAATAATTTTATTATTATTTAATTTAATATAAAATAAAATTTACTATTATATAATAATTAACAAATAAATAAACTAAGAAATAGTAAATTTTATTATACAATAAACTAATAAATAAATAAAATTTGTTATGATATAAAAATGTTAGGGCATTATTTTATTAATTAACATTACATTACTACATAAAATAATAAAAAATAAAGAAAAAACATTATTTGATATATTGCTATTATTTTTAATAATTTTTAATATTTATTAATAAAATTAATATTTGATATAAAAGTAATTTAATAATTTTTTAATTTTATAAAAATTAAATAATTTAAAATTTTATCAAATTAACATTTTAATTTAATATCTTTAATGATAATTTCTCATCTCATTACAATTCTCTTGACTGTTACCTTTATGTTTGCATCCAAATACATATCCTCATCATTGATTTTAATATTACTGCTATAGTATCTAGTTTCACATCCATCACTATTTTTAATTTTACCAAGACCAACCTCATTGCCTATTCAAATGGACCCTAAATTGTTTGTCTTTAGGACAAGAGTTTTGCTAATATAAGTTACTTATTGGAGACTAAAGAGGGTTTTTTTCATGAATTTTATCGTATTTTATATGAGATAAATTAATCTTTATGTGGATTTTCATCAAGCACTTTTATTATAGCAGTGAGAGTTTGCCTTTGCCAAATAGATGAGAATAGGTTTAAAGTGGATTTGGATTGCACTAAACTTTTGATGGGGGTTCGGTTGCAATAAAAATATGTGCTGACTACACCATAGATACCTAAATGGGTGCAGCTATTAGAATTTTTCATAAGTGGATTATTATTAATTGATTATTTTAATAATTTAATGAAAACGGCTAATGGATTTAATTTTAATATGAGACAAGCATGAGAGCTCAATTAATTTAATATGATAACCTAAGTATGGGTTTTGCACATCTTATAGGGTCAGTGTGGTTTGGTGGTTGTATAAGCCTTTCGCCTAGTAAGCCTTTAATGAAGAGGCTTCTAGGGTTATTTAATTAATTAGGTTAAGTCCCCTCTTCACTTTTATAAGATACAATAACTACTTATTGAGTGCTGCTAGCAAGAGAAGAGTGAAGAGTAAGACTTAGCCACTTCAGGTATTGGTTTGCTTCCACGAATTCACAATGATTACCTAAATAGGTATGTCGAATCTCTTTAATTAATATATGGTGTTCTAATCTTCACAAAATGATCTTGGATTAGTGTTTATATGTGACATTAGAGCTTAATTGTGTGATATTAGGACCCTAAATTCATGTTAATTAATTGATTTTTGGATTAATTGCTTATTCGGGGCAAAATTAGTTGTTGAAAAAATTTTAAATTCCTATCATTATTTTTTAAAATTGATTGAGAAATTTTGTTCCTCTTTGAAAGATGATTAAAACCATATAAAGATTGTTTTCTAATTCTTTGTATGAATAGAGAAATCAAGGTTGTAAATTTTTAGTTAAAGTTTTGATCAAAATTTTGTTTTGATTATAACCTTAACATTTTATGTGTTTAATCTGAAGTTGATCCTTAGGTAATGTTTATAATAGGTTATAAATTTGAATCAAAGTATTTAATTTCATAAAATGTTGATGTACATGATCAAATTTAAAATAAAACAAAAATAGTATGGGTTTGGATAATCTAAATGTTATATAAATTAATCCTATTTTTATTAGCTTTTGGTGCGATTTTTGTATAGATATGATAGAAAATAGTTTAATTGAACACTGGGCACTTTAATTTGATGAAAGACTAAGAAAATGCATAAAAATGGCAAAAAAAACCCCTAACAAACCCAAATGGGTCAAAGAATCGATCCAATCGAGTAGTGTCAACCTGGTTAGAGGTTGAAGAAGACCAGTCTTGCTCACTAAACGAAGCCCACACACAGAGAATGGCACGTGTGTTACGTGTGGGCTCGTCTGATGTCTGTTTTTGCTTCGATTTCTTTAGACATGTTTAGAATTTAATTTCTAAATTTTTCTAGAATTTTAAATTACATGAAATATCTATTATTTGAAATTCAAGTATTGTTCAAAAATTACTTTATGTTGTGTACATAATTTTGTTATTTTATTTTATGATAAAATATTTTGACATGCTAGGAGTATAATGGCAGTAGATACTTTCTTTAGATGAGCCTTAATATTTATGTACTTTCAAGTAGAATCTTATGTGCATAATTGATTAAATGATTAAAAATTTACTTTAATCAAGTTTAAGACCTAAGGTTAAATGCAATATACACTGTTTATAGGATCTAATAAGATATATCTAGGTTTAGTATCTTAGCTAGAGTGGTC